ATGCTCGTTTTATTGTTCATACTCATTTACTCCAACCGCAAGTATTAAATAGAATTATTAAATTTTAAATATAAGTATAAATATATTTACAATTGACACATGTCAAGTTATAATAGGTTTGTTGGGTAGTTAATGTTTTGATACCTCTTTTTTCAGGATGTACGTTTGCATCTCCGAAAGTTGAATATCAAAATAACTATACCAATTTAATTTCCCCATTGGAGATGAAAATTTAAGTTTTGGAGCACCAAAATAGTAGTTATTCATCCATTGGAATTGCTCTTAATAAGACTAAGGGCAAAATTGTAAAAAGTACAATAAATGTTTTACTACAATTCTAAAGTAACAATTATTGTGAAACGAAAGAAATTCTCTAAAATGACAAGTACAATGGGAACGAGGGAGTAATAAAATAGTTTGATGATTAATATAATCAAAATAAAATAAGTTTATCTATATCGTAAAAATATGTTAATCTCCTTAAGACCTCGTTAGGTTGCCAGTATATGATTAGCCATGATAAGATTAAACAATCTAATGAAAACTCAAATATTGATTTTACAAAAAAGCTCCCTAAGAGGCATGACATGGTAATATTTCCGGATCGAACTAGAAAGTTATATATATGGATTATCAAATATCAAATAAATTTCAATTATGTATTAATCATGGCTAATCTCCTCAACTAAGGGTGTGAACGAGCCGAGCTCGCCTCTTTTGGCCCGAATTCGAGCTCGAGTCTATTTTGTCGAGCTCGAGCTCATCGAGTTCCTTCTTTTTTTGCTCGAGCTCGAGCTCGTGTTTATTTTGTCGAGCTCGAGTCCAAGCTCATTTTGTTTTTTTTATATTTTTTTTTTAATATTTTTTTATTATTTAAAAAAATTCAAAATAAACAATAAATTGTTATTATATATTTTTTTAATATTTATATTTTATTTTTATTTATTTCTATAATATTTTATATTATTTAAACAAAAAATAATATATAAAAAAATTAAAAAAATAATAATAATAAATAAGGCTCGCGAGCTCGGCTTGTTAGAAAGCTCCAACTCACGAACTCGAGCTCGAGCTCAAAAAACTAGAGTCCGAGTTCAAGCTTTTTTCGAACCGGCTCATCGAGCTCATGAGGCGGCTCAGCTCGTTTACCACCCCTATCCTCAACCAAACGAGGCCTTATTGTTTCCAAAGAGTTTGTAACATCATGTAACATTATATTATTTGAAGTACAACACATGGCTTCTTTCTTAAGTAAAAGTTCACCAAACATTAAAAAAATATCTTAACACAAAAAATGAAGTAAATTAAACCAAAACAATTTGCATATTGATTTATCACACATTACAAAATCATGTATTTTTCAGAGATTAGGGATCCAGACCAAACTCGAACCTCACCAAAATCATATATAAATACGTTTTATTACGATGCATGCACTCGGTGAATTTCACCCGATTATATATTCTGCAATTAATCGTGTATATATAGGTCTATATATATTTTACGCATGTCGAATAAAAGCTATGTATCATATTTTGTTATGCTGTGAATTAGAAATATGAGTAGAATCCAAACCTGAATAATTTCTTCCTCAGTTGTTTTCCCAGTTTCTTCGGCTTTGTCGCTCGTTATTGCGTACCTTTCGATTGTGGTGTTCATCACACTGTTGCCATTTTCAGAAATGTAGAGTTATTTATATATAATTATATATTTATATATATACCCTAATAAACAAATTTATGTATTGGTGGTCTTAATATAATCAACAAAAGAAACATTATAATTCATATATCATCAGGTATTAGTAAAATTGAAACGACATTTAATATTTCAGTAAGACTAATTACTCGTCCGGTGTGTACGATCGAGATTCACTATCTTTAAACCATCTTAAAAAATATTGAACATATTTAATATATACTATATAACATGCTATACGTACATATTTAATCTTCTTTCAGTAAGTAAGAATTTCATCAGTTAATAATAGATGTTTTTATTTTAATCAAGTTAATTACAAGATTTTTACTGCAGGCATCTTTTTAAAATAACTTTGTTAAAATGAATATAATCAAAAAATGTTTTGTGTTGTGTGTCTGCAGGGTATATATATTTTCTCACAAAATTAAAATTGCAGAATTTTGGTTTTCAACTTTACACTAATTGCAAATATTGCATTTGAATATAATCTTGCATTCAAAGTAGGGGTGTGAAAGTCGGATGGAATTAGCCTTTTCGATAAATTTCCAAAAAATTTCGGAAGTACAAAATCAATTTCAATTCCAATTTCAAAAGGCCCGGAAATTTCGGAATTTCGGAAAAAAATCAGAAATCGCATAAATTTAAATTTTCAAAACTTTCCAAAATTTAATGAACAATTCATAATTTTCTAAAAATAAGAACATCCACGTCGACAAAAGTAAAACTAATAACTACTAAATTTTAGTTCAAAATAATAAATAAAAATAAACCATATCATAACATTCAATAAAACTTCTAACAATAATTCAAAATGTCAAAATCCTAAAACAAAACTTCAAACAACTTATTTATAGGTGTATTTTTTTCAGAAATACAAAACTAATTCCAATTCCAAAATTTTCGAAATCCAGAAATTCATTCCAATTCTAAAATGAAATTTTCGAAATTTTCGGAAATCACATGAGTTTGAACATTTTTAAAAAGTTTCGAAAACTTTCATAAAATTAAAAAAATAAAAACACCCACTTTCATAAAATCAAAAAACTAAAATTACTTTCATAAAATCATAAAACTAAAACTACTGGTCATATGATAAATTCTAATATTTGAAAAATAATTATAATAATTTCACTTGCACAATTTTTTCATCATGCATAATTCAAAAAATCAGTGTAACAAAGGGTTAATTCAAAACTCCCAAGTGGGAATAAAACTTATAAAAAACAAATAGTTAACTTAAAGAGATAACTATGAAAATAAATAAAGTGACACCTATACGATTAATTAATTAATATTATATATATTATCTGTAAATTCATAACCAGCTAAACCAAAAATCATCATCATCATCATCAAAGTTACTACAACATAATATCACAACCATCTGCACACACATATATATACATATATAAACATACATACATACATAATATATTATATATACATATATAATACATGTATGTAATATCACACAGAGATGAGTTCGACACGAACCCATGAAAATATCATTAACACAAACAAAATCTGATGCATCATACATATATATATATATGAGAGAGAGAGAGAGAGAGAGAGAGAGAGAGAGAGAGAGAGAGAGAGTTAGAGAGAGAGAGAGAGAGAGAGAGAGAGAGAGAGAGAGAGAGAGAGAGAGTTAGAGAGAGAAACCTGGAACTGGAGTATTCATAGAGTTTGCCGGAAGGGGAGAAAACAAAGAGAGCAACTTCAGCATCACAAAGAACTGAGAGTTCATAAGCCTTCTTCGAAAGCCCGTTTCTCCGCTTCGAAAACGTAACTTGCCTGCTCGCTGCATTCTCTATCCTCTTCATCTCACTTTTCTTCATCATATCTTTTTATTCCTGTAAAAAAAAAAAAAAAAAAAAATTCAAGAAACATAGAAATTTCCAAAAACAGACAACTTTAATTTAATGGGTTTCATTTATTTTCCCCAGATCTACAACATTAATGAAAAAGGGATCGAGCTGCTAGCAGTACGTAGTAGTACAGCTGGTCCGAGAAAACCCTAGAAACAGTTCAGACAAAGTGAAGATCGGTGAACAAGAAGTTCAAATGAACGATTTACGGTAAGAAGTTTGATGAATTAATACCAACCGTGGAATAAAGAATATAAACTTTTATGAAGAAAATATCACCATGAAACTAGGGAAAGAAAGATAGATTAATTATACAACCATACCTACAAAGAACACACAGTACTTCTGCTACTGTGTGTGTGTGTGTTTGCAGGAGTGGGAGAAGCAAACAAGTGGAAAGTGCGGTGAATAATTTATATGTTTATTTTTAATTGGTTGAATTAAAAGGTGGGGGAGGTGCCATTTGGCCCACTCCGAGGGCTGACAAGTAATATTGATGATATTTTTGTGAAAATATCTATCTTATTTGACTTGTTTATTAATGGGAAAAAGTATATATTGGATAAGTGAAAATCTTTTATTAGGGTTTTAGACTAGATATTTTAGTAAATTATTAATATATAACTACATTAGATATTTTGTTATCTTGAAGTATATGTATCTTTTGGTTCGAGTACCTTTTAAGTTATTAAAATCTTTAAAATAAGGTGTAAATCCTTTTAACAATAACTCAAATACGTTTATCGGTTACTACACTATAGATGTTTTAAAAGCGTATTAGTCTTTAATGTAGAAGTTTAACATGCGGTTCAGTCCATAGAGTAGGTGCAAATACTAGAATAAGGGGTAAGTAAATCCCTTTTGATAACTCAAAAACGTTTATCGGTTACTACAGATGTTTTAAAAGCGTATTAGTCCCTATTGTAGAAGTTTAAGATGCAGTTCAGTTCCTAGGATAGGTGCAAATGCAAATACTAAAATGTCATTTACTTTATTCTGATTTTACATATATACCTTATTCTCCAACTTTCAATGCGTCGTTTGGATTATATGTTGTGAATATTTTAGAAAATACAATTTTATATTAAACAATTAAGAACATGCAATATATAAAAATAAAATAATCATATAGGAATAGAAAATAGATTAAAGTAAAAGTAATAGAACGGCTGGCCTGAATAGGAGTCGTGCCACTAGACACTGTCCTAAGAGAATGATTGCCTCCCTTCGTGCAGGTATTGACGGCTGATCATACTCCCAAGATAAAACCCAATGGCCTCGCCGGTGCTTCGTCTATGAGCAACGATCATAGAAAACTAAAGAATGAACCTTATCTAAGTGCCCAAGGTTTATAGGAAAATATATAGAAGATGATGCATGCTTTGTGTAAGTGTGTATGTGTAGTGTTCTATGCTATGATGTATTCTAGCAAGTAAGCTAATGACCCTATTTATAGGGTGGTTGTGACCTTAAGGGTCAAAGAGAGTTTAATGGTGCATAATGATTAGGGGTGCAAGTTGGAACGGATTTTCCAATTTCCGCCGGTTCCGATCCGAAAAGTTCCGATTTTGGAACAACTTTTTTCATTCCGACTTCCGAAATTCTGATTTCCGAAATTTTCCGATTTTTTTGGATTGGAATTGGAATTGTGCAATGGGTGTAGGAGCCTTCCGAGCTTGAGCCTACACTTAGTGTTGATGATTTCCATTTGAGGGAGCGGTAATGGCGCAAGCGCTTTGAATTACGTCCCTTCACCAAACTTCAATGCATCACACACACAATATCGATATCGGTTCAGTTCAAGCGGGTTAGCGCGTTATCGGCCATGGGCTCTTATCTTGATTCTCATGAAAGTTTCTAGGGTTAGCCCAAACCCATAGTCACGGCCTCATGGCAACTTTTCACTTAGGTGAAACCTCCAAGGGTACGTATGACCTCCACCCTACGGTATTCCCGCTTTGGTTTCATTAAGGGTTAAACCCATCCTTTTCGTCACACTATAAAGCACTATATCACCATAGGGATGGGAAGGAGGTGCTCTCCTCATAATTTTAATTTAGTGCTTTAACGAGTCACGCATTTACGGGTTGTTTCTACCACATTGAACCTTCTTCATGGGGTCTCCAATCACAAAGGTTGGGTTACTCCCGGAGGTGACTCCCTTACGGGCTTATGCCCATCCCCCTCGATGAAATTTTTACATCCTTATAGGATGAATCTTTAATAGATCAATGATCATTTCTTTCGAAATTTTAATTTGATCAATGATTTATACACACCCTTAGAGGGCAGATCTTTAACAAGTGTTTCAAACTTTAGTGTTGAGAGAATATCATATTTCTCTTCAACTGATACTCAATACTTTGAGATTTTCCTGCAGGTGTCAAACTCAATTTCTTGTACGAAGATCAATGATCAAATATTTTAATTTTCTCATACATGATATTATATGATCAAGTTTTCATTTTGATAAATACCCCCACATTTCAAGAGAATTTATGCATGAAATAATTATTGCAACAACAATAGCATAGAGCTTTTAGTTTCGAGTAATTGAAAATAGCTATTTAAGCAAAAATCACAAAGGATAGTGGGAGTTTTAGATTTCAAATGAAAATATAGACTTTTCCAATATCTTCCTTTTTAAATCACGTTATTTTAAATAAGGAGAAATATTCACTTAAATTAAAACAATAGATTAACTTTCAAAGTCACCATTTAATGCCATGCATCGGCATACTTAAGGATAATTAACCTTTAATTTAATTTACTACGAAAACATATCTCTATCAAATTTTGATTTTCACCAAAATAAACTGCACACTTAATTCAAACTCAATAGTTCACTATTGATAACATGAACATATTATGAGAATCATTTTCAATCTAAACAATGTGAAAATAGTTGAGCCATTATCATAGAATGGTTTTCATGTAGAGGCATTCTAGAATTCAAACAAATCAAATAACACGGACATAGTCTCATGGAATATCAAAATTTCACATACTTAAATTCATGCATGCAATAATATCTTGAATTCATGAAGTGTTAAATCCATTTGAAAGTTCACCAAACATAGCTTTAAACTTTATTTTATTTATAAACAATAACTATATGTAGACAATTATCCAAAATTGGATTTATAAGTGGAGACAGAATAATTTAAAAAAGAGAGTCAAAAATTCACACCATTTTATTTTTATGTAAAATAAATGCCATGCATAGTCATAAACTAAAATAATTACGTACAATTGGCAGGCTAATGAATGTTATAAAAATATTTCTTAATTAGTGAATTTTCAATGGACAAATAAACAAATAATTAATTAATATTTCAGTTAACTTTTAACAATTAAATCATGCCAAATGATACTCTGAACAATATTCATATGTAACCCATTATTCGAAATATAACACTAATCAATTCATGCAAACAACAAGAAGTAAAATGTTCGAATATACAAATCACCCCCGAACACAAACGACTACGATCTTTAGTGTTTAATTAGCCAATAGCACATCTATATTTTAGCAATTTTATCTTCTAAAATGTTATTAAAGATATATCATATCTCATGCCCCTCAATATACGGGTTTAACTATCATTTTAATTTCAACTTATTTATTTATTATTATATTTTCATAATAGTACCCAAAGATTGTGGATTTTTCAATTCTCAACAATTTGAATTATATAGTAGATAATTAATCGTAAGTGCGCAAACACATCATATAGATAATTAAGTTGTCCACGAGTAGACACATAACTTAGACGACTTTAAAACTTTTAGCAAGCATACCTCTTGAACGACTAGGATCCGTTCGTAGCTACATTCATCCTTTTTATTATGTATCCACAAACTTCCCATTTAGTGCGATTTCCTTATAATGCAATCACAACTTATGGTTTATACGTTAATAATACACATGATATGACATATGGGATATAAGGTTTTCAAATTATTCATTTCATTAAAATGACAATACTAAGTGATTATAAAACTAATAATCAATTCAATGATTTAAATATAAACGCAATAAGATTTTTCACCTGATGCATAGACTAAGGATAACCTATATGGATATATTAGACTATATCAAGTTTATGAGTACTAATTAACCGTAAGAAGCTTTAACGTTGACAAAATGAATTGAATTCTAATTTTATCATGTGTCACATAAATATTTCTTTTCGGTTACAAAATAAATGCAATTAAATATTTAAATAAATATAAATTAAAGATCATGATTATCAAGCTTCCAATTATATATGCAATACATACGATAATATATATCTAAATATATAGTTGATTGTGATTCTGATAACTACAAATATCTACTACAAAATTCCCACTAATTATAAAATATAAATCATATATAAATAAATTTAGTTATGATAATGAATAAGTTAATGAAACGTCCAGACAAACTATATATAACACATAAATTAAAATAAGCTATTCATATTCAAATGCAGAGACAGAAAGGAGAATTTTCATTTCTATATTCAATTGTTTCCAATCCTTAAACTTATAACTATGTACTTAACGAGTTTGAGCATTAATTTGACTATCAAATAAATGAATTTATCACAATCCACAAATATATGTAAGATTAACCGATCGACCAAAATAGATTAAACAAGAACCTGATTTGTGTCACCATAAAATGATATACTATGAACAACAACTAACATATGCATGTTATAATAAGGATTGATATTAATCAAATTTAGATGAGATTCGTACAAACCTTTTGTACCATAATTATAGTTATCAATTCACAATATGCTAGAAACAATACCCACATTTTTATAAGCAAATAATCATTCTCTTAGATTGTTGTGAATATTTTAGAAAATACAATTTTATATTAAACAATTAAGAACATGCATGCAATATATAAAAATAAAATAATCATATAGGAATAGAAAATAGATTAAAGTAAAAGTAATAGAACGGCTGGCCTGAATAGGAGTCGTGCCACTAGACACTGTCCTAAGAGAATGATTGCCTCCCTTCGTGCATGTATTGACGGCTGATCATACTCCCAAGATAAAACCCAATGGCCTCGCCGGTGCTTCGTCTATGAGCAACGATCATAGGAAACTAAAGAATGAACCTTATCTAAGTGCCCAAGGTTTATAGGAAAATATATAGAAGATGATGCATGCTTTGTGTAAGTGTGTATGTGTAGTGTTCTATGCTATGATGTATTCTAGCAAGTAAGCTAATGACCCTATTTATAGGGTGGTTGTGACCTTAAGGGTCAAAGAGAGTTTAATGGTGCATAATGATCATTGAAGGGACGTTACAAAATATAATTAAAATAATAAAAGTAATTTTTAAGTTTTAAAACTTCTCAAATTTCCAACATTATACTCTCTTAATTGTATTGTCAATTACAATTTAAAACTCAACTTTCAGTTTTCTTTTTTTAAAACAACTAGCGAGAAGGAAAAGATACGATGCAAGAAAAAACTCCTTACTTAGTACGCATAACTCCTGGAAAAAAAACACCTTAAACAACATGAACAAAGAAGCAAAGGCACAAAAGAAGAATAAAGCAAAAGGAAAAAAAACAAACCCATTTTTTAAGAATGGCGAAGGGGAAGAAACATCAAGGTTTGATTTTTTTTCGTTTCATTTTCAAAGAAGCAGAACCGTTTGCGTTGCAAATAATAATTATTTATTATAGAGTTGCATGATTTTGAACATTTTCACTCTTAGATATTATTCATCAGTGACATTAGCATTTCCCTAAAACATCTTTAGAACATTTTTGTGTTCTTTGTGGGTGTTGTAGGATATATCGTATGAAACAATGGTACTACCAGTGCATTTGGATGATGTTGAAACATAGAACTGAACCGCATGTATTAATACAATAGTATTGCTATTGTGTTTAGCCGGTATTGAAACAAAGTATTGAAACTACTGGTATTGGAACTTTATAGTACGTTATATTATTTGAATCCATTGCAAATAGTACCCCTGTGAAATATCTAATTGCAAAATACCCCTTGGCAAAAAGAAAAACTCACTCACTCACACCTCCATGTATTTATGTGTATGCAGTTGAGGAAATTCCATACTGTGTATCACAGAATAATGAACAAATAAAAAACGCATTTCAGCAATACAAAAGTGGAGACCTACCAGTCTTAGCGCGGTCCGCGGACCCTCTTTCCACGCTAATTGGTTTCATCTTTGTAGCAGACGACAATCTCAACCAGACTCAACATCATTATCAAACAATGTAACCATATTCTCCATGTCTTTGTCAGATACAATCTTTCTCGTTGAACCAAGTATTGACGGATCAATGCATCGGGATGGATATTTCGTCCCACTTTCTTGTAATAGCACCACACCGTATATCTCGAGTAAAGTTGCATTACTCTTAAAGGAAATGATCTGCACTTGATCTTTATAACGACATCTTCCAAGAACTAAAGTGGACAATGGATTTAGTTCATAATTTCTAGCCATTTGTGGGTTTTGACTTTTGACGATGATTTTTCCGTCGTCGTCAGAGAAAGAGGAAAGATGAAGAGAAAAATAGGAGAGAGGAAAGAAAGAGCATGTTAACGGCATTGAGTTTTACTTTTTTTTTTTTGAACTTTTCTTCGGCACCGGTCAACGCTATTTCCTTTTTCTTTTCTTTTTTTTTTTGTGATAAATCCTTTTTCCGAGAAAATTCTTTTTTCTTAGAAAATTCTTTTTTCCGATAATTATTTTTTGGTTGTTGAACGTCGAGATCAACGGAGTTCACTTTTTTTTTTCCTTTTCAAAAAGTTAATTTTTTTGTTGTTGACCGGCGGTCAACAATGTTGATTCTTCTTCTTTTTTTTTTTTTTTTTGAATTTTTTCTCCTCAAATTTTTTCACTCATCGATGTCTTCCTTTTTTTTTTTTTTTAATTTCCAACATTAACTGCTCATCACACGGTGATATTAGAGCAACTCCAATGGAAGTATCAAATGGATTATCAAATCCATAAACCACTTTTTTGATATTTCAAAATCAAAATTTTCCACTCCAATGGGAGTATCAAAATGGGTAAATATTTTGATATTCTACCTCTTTGAGTGTAAAAATACATCCCGAAATTGAGTTATCAAAAAAATAACTATCTAAACATCCAATCAAAAAATGACACGTGGCAATTACAAATAAAACCACTAAAAAACTTCCAATTGATTATTGATTTAGATAACCATGGTTGGAGTAAATAAATTGTAAATGAATATTAAAATATTATCTTAATTATCAAATGAGTATTTGATAATCCAATTTTGATGTTTAGCATTGGAGTTGCTCTTACTGTAGTAAAATAATATTTATTTTGTTTAGACAACAATATTACTAATACATAATTTCGACTAGAGTGGAAGTCGTCGGTCCATATCTAAGATGTGCATAGAAAGTAATTGACGAAGTAAAAGTCTTTAGTCAATTAACTATAAAACATTAGTCAACTCAACTAAACATAAAACATTAGTAAACAAAAATTTCATCAATTTTTTATAGGGTAAATTACAACCACCCCTAAAGTATAGTCAATTTAGGAAAAAACTCCTCTTGTTTGAATAATTACATCTAACCCCTCAGCTATGATTTTTTCTTACATCTCCACCCCTATGGTGTCATATTCAACACAGTTTCTGATGCATCACAACCTAACAAATATAAGCCAAATAATACATATCATGATCATCTTGCTTCAAAATGTGGAGTTCCGATGGGATAAAACGGGTACAAAAGTGATAATCTTTCATATAATCTCGAATATTTCTCTAAAATTGAAACCGCAAGGGTGGACGTGTAAGAAGATTTATAGTTGAGGGTTGTAATTACCCAAACAAAAAGGAGAGTTTTTGTAATTTAACCATACCTCAGGGGTGGTTGTAATTTACCCTTATATATATATATATATATATATATATATATATATATATATATATATATATATATATATATATATATATATATATATAGAGAGAGAGAGAGAGAGAGATATTGCACTAATTTACCATTTCGAACCAATTGACTTACACCCATACGTGCAGTAGTATCATAATTTTTTCAATTTCTTTTGTTAATGAAGGAACCGACATCCAACTGTATAGATGCACTGGGTAAATCTACACTCTTGCACAATAACTTGCAAATTATACAAGAGACATAAGCCAACCACACTAAACTAACCATGTGTGACATGCTCGACCTAGCAACCGTGGTAAAAAAAATTGAATTTGAATCAATTAATACAAGCCCACTTATTCCAAGCAGTAGATCATCTATTAGGAGACGAGACAATAGTCTAATAATTATCTTCATTCTTTGTATTCACAAGTGGACTTGGTTAAAACTAAGAAGGGAAAAAAATCAATATAACTGTTAATTACTTTTACAAAAGTGATATTTAAGCTCATAAAATTGCGTAAATTTTTTTTATTTGTTTTTTATATTTTATTTAGAGTAAATTACACATATACCCCTAAGGTATACTAGAATAACTTTAAGGTCCCTGTGGTATTGATAATTACAGTTACACCCCTGAAACAATTACCAGAGCCAAGATTTCTTGTCCTAGGAACCACTATGCACTACAATTGTTTCCCACGGGGCCGTTAATGCTACCATAGACGAAAATTTATAAATCTTATATAAAATAATAATGATTTAAGAAATGTTCGGGGAGCCATGTCACATCCGAGCTCTATGTGGTCTCCATCACTGTCTGAAAGTAATAGTCCGTTAGAACCATAATGGAATAACTCATAAATCCGTTATTCCATTAGGTTTTCTAACAATATTTTGGGGGTGATTGCGATTAGCGATACTATAGGGATCTTCAAGTTATTTTTGCATATTTAAGGGGTGTAAGTATAATTTACCCTTTATTTCGAAAGTAACTTGTTACTGTTGGAGTCAAAAGCCGAACTCCGGAACCGTTCAAAAGTCGTTTCTTTTATATTTCAAATGTCACCACTCTCACACCTGCTTCGACATTTCCCTCTTCATTTTATAGTAACAAACTAACAATAAGCATTTGATCAAAATTGCGAACAGAGAAATGGTTTCCCCTTCTCCTTCTGCTTCAACCACCGGTGATCCGCCGTCGCCGGAGAAGTTGGAGGCGGAGCACGATAAACGAGAGAAGGAGGTACTGCACAGGACAAAACTCGTACAAATTTTTGGCCGAACCACGCCTATCTTTCTCCAACGCGATAATGGCCCCTGCCTTCTCCTCGCTATCTGTAACTACTCTCTCTCTCTCTCTCTCTCTCTCTCTCTCTCTCTAAACGTATGTGTTTTTCTGAGTTTTTCAATCAATTTGAAAGGAGCGATGAACAGACGAAATTGGAATTATTTTGGTAGAATTGAGATTGAGATTGAAATTGCTTGGGATGAGTTGCGATGGTGTATGATCTACACGTTGAATGTGTCTGCTGAACAATCCTATATGTCAATTTTCGTGGAATTCCTGGAATTAATTTTGTGATTATGTTAGTTTATTTAGGATTTTGTATTTTGAGGTATTGCATTTTGAGGTATTGGATGTTGTAGTTTTGAATCGAGAACCTACTCGTTCCATCGGCTGATTTTAGGTTTCTCTTCGCGTTTACGCGCTTTTATTTTCTGTCCGGCTAACGTACTGTTGCTCATTACCACAGGTAATGTTCTTTCACTGAAGTACAGTTTGGATTTCAATCTAGATATTCGAGAGGTTTCACAAGATTACTTGCTTTCACTTGTTCTTGGGCTGCTCGATTCGAAAACTGGCAATGTTGTAGTCTCCTTTTGTGCATTATTTTCTTATTTACATTTTTTTTCATCATATATGACAGATATTAATACTTTTGTGTTTCCTTTTCTCATTAATTTGATCTTATCAATTGGGCGACCGAACAAAAAAACTGGCTATGTTCAAAATCGACAGAAGGATATTGCAGATACGATTCGTTTACTTCCTCGACTTACAACCGGTGTTGACATGAATATAAAATTTAGAAGGTAAACTAGCTTCTAGGCTTTTTGCCTTTTTGTTTTGCAGCACTAAATAATTACAGTCTCGTAGTGCATGCTATAGGATATATTGTAGAAAACTTTCTTTCATATTTTTTACGGATTAAAAAAAAAAAAACATTTGTTGTAGTCCAATATGATTCAGTGAAAGGGAAATTCTCTTACTGGTCGTAATTGACACATTTATATGTGAATTTTTCAGAATTGATGATTTTGAGTTCACTCCAGAATCTGCAATATTTGGCTTATTGGGTATTCCACTCTATCATGGATGGATCGTTGACCCGCAGGTATAGATCTTTCGAATATAACAAACCGTAATTTGTGATTGCAACTTCTGACCCTGATCCCTCATTCATATATGCATGCCATTCAAATCTTCATGATATCAGTTTCAGGGTATTTTGTTAATGGTTTAGGTGTTAAGTCTGGAAACACGACCACCGATTTATAAGCATGAGTTTTATCTAATCGGTTTTTAACGCCATTCATTTTTACCGTCTTTGGCATAAATTCTGGAAAAACTGCTGATTTTTTAGCATGACGGTGGAACTAGGTAAAAGATTAAGATAGTTACCGGTTAACAGTTTTTCGAAATTGTTGACCTATGCCTGTTCATTGAGTATTTGGGGTTATAGAATGAACAGTCCCTGGACCGTAATCTGATTATCATTTCATATGTGGTCACTATTTGCAAAATGTGGGTAAATTTGGTTTTTTCTTACGAATGTTTCCAATGTATGCATTTCAGCACAATGAAACATATGCTGCTATCTGTTCCAAATCATATAACATTCGAACGTTGGAGCTAGTTTCATTGGAAACAAAGAGCGAGCAGAAGAAAAAACTAGAAGATGACAACGTTGATTTTGCTGCTGCAACAATTACTTCAGCTCCTGTATTACCTTCTCCAAGTCCTTCCCATAGAGCCAGAAAAGGGGACATTGAGGAAGAAGCAGAGCTCTTAAGAACCTTGGAATTATCGGAGGCGGAGACCTTTACTTCTGATCTTAGTTTGGGAACACATTTGGAAACAAGTGAAGAAGATTTTACTGAAGAATCTGAAGAGACTGGTTCACCGATATCCTCTGATTGTGCGGACATTTATGAAGACGCAGAAAACATATTGGACTCGATAACTTTAGTTTCTGAAAATCGAGAGCCAGTTTATGAAGGTGAGTCGGTTATTTCAGAGCAAGTAGATAGAAGTTGTATGGAAGAATTTAAAACAAGGTGAAACTTGCTTCAAATTAGTGACAGCCATTTAGTCGGTGATTATTTATTTTATACTTTCTTGTTTAATTTATCTATTCATTCTGTAAGACTGTTATGCTAGTGTATCTAATTAACCTCTTATTGATTCTCATTAGGGGAAATTATCGAGAACTTTATGAAGAACAGTGCTAGTCAGTTGACTGTATACGGGTACGTGTGTTTTGCTATTTTACCACATGTGGTTGAGAAGATGTGCTTTGTTTGGGATAAGAAGGTTCAGATTGTGGGTTTTCTTCCACAGCCTATTTTGCTTACTAGACAACGTGAAGGAAGGCGAGATTTGTGTGTTCTTCAGAAATAATCGTTTCAACACTATGGTCAAGGTTAGTCCATGCCATGTAAATATAAAGCTATATTATACTTCTATATTTTCATAGGCAATAATAATAATAATAATAATTTCTCGAACTTTTAAGTACAGAATTAGTTGTTTTACATAGAACAAGATCTTTTGTTGTTTGTTCCTAATAAAAAAATTATTTGCAGTATGAAGGTGAACTGTACATTTTAGCAACTGATCAAGGTTTCATTCATGAGCCAGGTTTGGTGTGGGAAAAGCTAAATGAGGTGAGATCACAGCATAGCATTAACTGCTTCAATTTCAAAACGTATAAAACTTTGAAATTGCATTTGACCCTGTTCTGGTTATTATTCGAGTCAAGTTTGCACGGAGTTTTATTGAGTCAAGCACTACCCAAGCTCAGTGTCTTGAAAATTTCAATATAATTTTAACTATATTTTTAATCAATTAACTATAGGTTTATTATTTTTTCACTAATTAAGTCGAGCTTTTGGGCTAGTATCAAGTTTTCGAAAAATGGGGTACGATGCTTGAGTCTCTCTAGCTTGGTTTGTTACGGTGAACGAATTGAGGTTAAACTAAATGAGCTTTTAGCAGTCAATTTTGACTCATAAGCCGGTCAAAGCTCATTTAGTTTATTAAACACCACCACTTACAATATTGATACAGAAGAAAATTTGATAAACTTATGATCGTGTCATATTCAGATGTTTAATTCTTTCGTAATCGGAACTTATACAGATGCTTGAGTTTTGTTCTCAGTAGTGTTTCCTGATTTATATGATCGCCATGGTTAGGTGAATGGTAATACTGTATACATGACGGGCGATTTTAAGGAATTCAAGATGAGCGACCGTTCCAACAGCCCTTGGGATGCAGCGAATGCCATGGTTGATACTGCAGTAAGTAGCTGTTTTAGTGTCTCAAAGCTCGAGTTTGTATGTGCATGAATTCTAAATTCGATATTTTATTTGCAGGACTATCCATCTACCATTGGTAGTGCCGAAGAAAGTTCAAGTTTCGAGTAATTCATTAAAACTTTTCTTGCATTTTCAGTACTCATATTCTCTAGCATTCTTTTTTTTTTCCTTTTGGGTAGAACACATCATTTTATGGTTACGACTGCTACATTTGAACTTCAATTTGGTATCGAAATATTTCAGAATTGACATGTTTTATGGATTCGATTTGCAGCTCCGATCTGCAGTTGGCAATAGCTCTTCAACAGCAGGAATATGGTGACCAGCAGCAGCCACATAGCAATTTGCAACCGCCAGCTTTTACTGATGACAGTTCGAGCCTCGTCACTGTTCCACCGGTAAGTTGTATTACGTGTTCTTTCATATATATATATATATATATATATATATATATATATATATATATATATATATATATATATATATATATATATATATACGTGCTTATGCTTTCTGGCAGTATATATACCTTAAAGTCGATCGTTTGGGAGTGTTGATGAGATTGATAAGATTGGTTATTGATTACAGTGTTCGAAGCATTTGTCTAGCCTAATCATAATTTCCGACCAAACAAAGCCGTAAAGTGATTAAATATTTGCAGGTTTCGGAGAGTAGCGACGAGTGCACAAAGTCGTCTAAACCGAAAGAGATGTGATTGTTAAATACAGGTTTTTGTACAATGGAAGTTTTGATGACTGTAAAATACAGGTTTTCCGTGTGTGTATAATATAATACCAATAAAAGAGCAAATGAGTAACGGTAAGTAATACATCCTCTGCTGTAAGCAGTTACTTTTTTGTACAAAGGAAGAATGGAATATACAGTGTTTGTTTTTGGGACGAATTTTGAGAAATTAATGAACAAGTAATAATTCAAATATTATATAGCAACAAACGAAAGAATGGCAAATTACGAACCCCCCCTAAGGTAAGACCTATTTACGTGTTTGTAATTGCAAAAAGCCCCCCTGGAGTATGTTGCTATCATGTGTAGCATGGACACGAAAACGGCGATACGGGAAAATTGGGAAATGGACGAGGGGAAACGGCATGTCTAAAAAATGGGGATACGTGATCTTGAGGAAACGTGTAAATATTAAAAGTGTAGGGGCATATTTATAAATATGCTATATAAAAATATGTAAGTTTTTATTTATATAAAAAAAAATAATCTTTTTTTTTCATACAAAGATATTCGAAACGTGAAAGCATTAAAAAGTTGAAATTTCCGTGCTACATAGTTGCTATCTTACTTACTACCCCTTTTTGACAAAAAAAAAAAAAAAGAGTTATTCTAAAATATCGTCTGAAAATACCATTTTTACCCTTGAACATGATATCATGTTCTTTTCAAATGGTAATTGTAAGCATATTATTTACTTAGAGGGTAAATTATAATGTATTAAAAAATTCATAATATAAATTAAAATCGATCTAATTTGATTAAATATCACTCATATGTCATATTCAAAGATAAAATATGATATTTTACTATATTTTTCGAATCGAAAAATATAGTAAAACTACTTGACATATTTAACTATAATTTTATTGTCTACTGATTTACATATTTTCTTTAAATTTTGTATCTCCTAAAGTTTTTACTGTTTAAGTGATTAAATTTTTATTAGTACTTAATGTGGAATGAATAGTATTTGAAAAAATTACTATTTTAAGAGTGTATTTGGTGCATAATGTATTTGATGTGAAGAGTATAGTTCAGTATGTAGGTTTATTTAGCACTAACATATAAATTAAAAAAATTAATTATGGAAAAGTATTAAATAAAATATTTGTTAACACTAACTGATAAATATTTCATCGCTTTATCTTTGAGCTTTAATTTAAGGGTTTATTAGGGATAACCCCCTTGTTCATATTTTCTAATGGGGTAGATCCAATTTTTTTCCCCTGTTTGAGATAGATCCAATTTTGCCAACTTGGCAAAATATATTATATAATTTTCCTTTAATACCCCTGTTTTATTTTTAAAAGGCATTTATTTCCTTTACTACGTGATTTGAGATTTGCTGATACGTTGCCTAAAATCACTGAATAAAATTACGTGAGATCATTGGCCGTTATATCAAATCGTGTACAATATTTTTTCGAAGGTTCTCTTCAGCGTTCCAGCGGTTCTTTATCGTCTTTGAAGATTTCTGCACCGTCGTTGAAATAGGATCGAATTTGAGCGTTCGTTGTTGGACGTTGTTAACCGGGTATGAATGCGTTATTCGTTTTTATTTTTCGCTCAATGTCTAGGATTGTCGATTACGGTGGTTAGAAATTTTAAGGGTTGTGTTGATACTTGATTCTATGAAGTAGAACGTTTTTTAACAAAATTACGTCGTCATATATACATCGTTATTTTTGGCGGATGATGTTTGTTTGGAAGAGGATTGACAGAGTTAGAAGAGGATGCTTCACGCAGATCGGACCAGAGTTGTTTTATATGAGCTTCGTAGTTGGTTTATGCAATAATCGGAATAATTGTCCGCTGTGGTCGAGTTCATGTTTTTTATCCCGATCGATAGTTGGTTTATTTGTTTATAACAGCCGATTTAAGTGTGCTGGGTAGTACATTAAAATATAGTTCGTAGTCTTTTTTAAATTAGTGTATGGATTTTGCATTTTAAGTTTATTTTTGATGATATTAATGTATTGTCATTCAAATGTATTTGCAGTCTATTTAATCATTTTTTAGTATTCTGCATTTTTAATTTTGTTTCATGATTTTAGGTTTTTTCGATGGCGAATTTCGTAAGGATTTTGTTGAGGTTTGGTGGGTTGGTTGCTATAAAGAGGTGTTTACGATGTAATGGCTCGGTAACTTCGGTTAAGTTTTAAACCGTTATAATACAGTAGTATACTATTATGAATATCGTATGATACTACCATTATCATTTTATTATACTATTATGAGATTATTAATGTACTAGAGTTTTTTAACTGGACATATTGATTTTATTGTGTTATGATGTGTTTTATGTATTTTATCAAAACCCTAGATTGAAATTATGAGATTATTAATGTACTATTTTATTGGTTATGTTGGAATACTTTACGTTGGTGTTGTTCTCAATGTTCTTGTCATTTCAGTGGTATATTGTTTGTAACACAATTCATATCACTACTATAACCGTAATATACTATCATAGCAGATCAATGTACTATATTGAAATTATTAATATACTATGTGGTTGAATAATACGGGATTCATAGTCGATTAACGAGATCGATAGTCGAATTAGATGAAGTAGATAGTTTAATACATGATATAAGGAAAATTACCCTAATTGATTAGTATTTC